TAAAATACAATGTTGTCTTTATATAAAAAAAAAAATACAAGATAAGATAAATTATGTCTTTTAAAAATTAAAACAACTAGTAATTTTTGTGAAAAAGATCTCTTTTAAAAAAATGCATAAATTCCATCTCTTTGCTTGTATAAGTCTTTATTTTTTTTAATTTTAATTGTCGAGAGAAAGTATAGATTCCCTGTCTTTGCCTTTATCCTCGTGTCCAAGTCGTGTAGGGGATGTATTCGTATCAGAACTGCGTGAGAAAGGTGTTCAAATATATATATTTTTTAATTATGATAGTGTCAAACGTGTTGGGTCGAAAATATATGATTACAAGTACAACATTCCATAAATATGAACAGGTGCTCCAAATAGTAACCATGATGCATTTCATTTTTCATTCTTGCTAAGGTTCCAAGCTAGGTATTTTCCTTTCTGTTTTCCCTGTTATTCTCGGGCACAACGCTCTCCAGTTTCTGTATACTTTTCAATCAAATGCTTGTACCAACTTGCTGATAATTTTGGAGTTCTCTTCAGTGTGGCAAAATCCACGTGGTGAAGTCCAAATTTCAGTGAAATCCCAAATTTCCACTCAAAGTTGTCGAGCAAGGACCAGGCAAAGTAACCTCTCACATCTGCTCCTTCCCTGATCACATCAACAACACACAAATACTTAGGTCCAAGGTCAAGGATAAAGAATAATGCCATGATTTATTTATTTATATTGGGATGCAAGCAAAATTTCACATCGTTCATGGGTTATGTATGAATGGTAACATGAAAGAAGCGTCAAAACTCTTCAAATCATTGGGTGAGCTGCACCTCGAACCAAACAGTGTCATATATAATACGATGATTCATGGTTACTGCAAAGAAGGAAGCTCTTTTTGGGCTCTTAGGTTACTCAATGAAATGGTTGACAATGGAATGGTTCCAAATGTGGCCAGTTTTTGTTCAACCATAGGGCTTCTTTGCAGAGATGGAAAGTGGAAGGAAGCTGAACTTCTATTAGGACAGATGATAAATTCGGGACTAAAGCCAACAGTTTCTTTGTACAATATGGTTTACAGAGTCAAGAGTGATGTTTAGAATGCTGAACTCAGGAAATAAGATACTTTTTCCCTATTGATTCATTATCTTATCAGTAGAACATTATAAGCATTAATCAAGCTCTTTCAAGTATGCTGATTTTTTTTTGTCTTTCTGTTTCTCAGTTTAATCTATATCCTAAATGCATAATAATTGATGCATTCTGGACACAAAGGAATGCTTGATTTGTATGGACAATTTGCATATTGATATTTCTTTCTCTACACCCGGCGGCTATCAAATTGGATGAGGCCCAATCGATCAGGACAAATAGCAAGAAGAAATGTATAGGCTGTCCTCTGTTGTAGAGGTTCAGAAAAAAAAAAATAATCATAGCTCACCCAAAATTGATGCTGGTCTGGATTTGGATCGTCATGGTTACTCCCCGAAAGCCAGTTCTTTGACTGGGCCACGGTCTCATGGCTGAAGCCCAACAATTAATAACGTGTTGTCTAGTCTCTCTCTTTATAGCATGTTAAGTCTTGGCCGTTTTTGTCTAGCCAATGCGAGGGACCATGCACGTCTGAAGAGAGACACAGATGGGTAGGTTGAGTTATTACCAAAGATCAGGCTGAACTTGTTGAGCAATTATTGTACCACCTTTGAATTTTAAGTTCTTGTCGGGATTCTCGGCCAAGGGACCTTTACCACGTGTAGTAGGGGGCCATGACCCAGCTAGTACCACTTCTAGCTTGTTTTTGTTTGGAATCAAAGTTTATCTTATTTGTTATTAAGTCTATCATATTACTATAAAACTACTTGTAGATGTATAATTCTACAAACATCACACTTGAGATTTCAATTTTCTATATGAAGAGTATGTGTTAGAGATCTTATATTAATTAATGATATAACCAATATAATATATATAATTGAGGAGCCAACTTTGTCATTAGACCATTGAAGTTGTAAAACAGGAAATTCAATGTGAATACCGGGGATTGTATCAGTACATGATATTAAGTGATTGTATCCGTACCCAAACCAACTTGTATGTGAAGGTCTAGGTGGCTGATATATCATAAATGGCAACCAGGCTTAAGCGTGATGGAACTGTTGTTGTATCATTGTATGATTTAGATTCGTAATGTGAACATGTTGATATTTCCTTCCCCACACGGGGATTGGTATTTATCAAGTAGCTACATGAGTTGAATTTGAATGTACAGGGTGATTTTCGTGGATATTTTTCAATAACGAGTTGGCAACCAAGCGAAAGATACTTGGACTAGACGACGGATGCTGTTCTTGTTTGACTAAAATTTCCATCCATTACAAGTGGAGTTCGCGCGCGCCTAGCAAAACACTCTTTTTTGTTATTCGTACAATAGAGCAGTCTCTTCATGAAAGAAAATAGACGCTAAACTGAGCATTATCTTCTTTATCCTTATGTCAGAACTTAGTAGTATAAATTGATTGTCCCATAAAATAGTGGTTTAAGGTATCATACACATCTGTTGAATACGCAAATCCTAGTATGTTTGGAGGCTAAAATCATTGGCTTTATTTAATCGGGAAAAATAACTCATGAGTCTTGAGTCATGAAACCAGTCTTCAATTAGAAATATCGAAAGAAAGTTAAATGCTAATATGCTATCCATCCAGACACAAAGGAGCCCTTATTATTATTGTTGTTATTATCCCTACTGATATTATTTTGATAAAGTTTACCTAAGAAGGCAATTTTTTTTTTTGACCAAAAAGTGTGGTCCGAGAGTCATAAATATGGTCATTAAGATCATATCTAAACATTGCAAGTGTTATGCTACAAGTCCTAGCCTATGCTATAAAAAGCAAACTCTCGCACTCTGAACTACAGAGTCACAGAACAATCTATTAGCTTATCTTCTCAATGGCTTCATCTTCTTCTGTTGCCACCATTCATTTAATCCTCCTGACAATAACCCTTTTCTCAGTCTCCTGTTCATCATTAACTCATGAATCGACCAACAAACCAAAACCCTTTTTCCTACCCATTAAGAAAGACCCAGCAACCAACATGTTCTACACCACAGTTAGCATAGGCACTCCCCAGCACAACATGGATCTAGCCATTGATCTTGGCGGAGAAAACCTCTGGCACGACTGTAGCAGACGCTACAATTCATCATCCAACCGCAAGGTCCAGTGTGAGTCAAAGAAATGCCCCAAAGGTGCTGCATGCTCCGGCACTGGTTGCATAGGCCCTTATAAACCAGGCTGCGCAATCCACGAATGTGACATCACAATAACCAACCCTTTAGCTCAATTCACAACCAGCGATTCAATGGTCGAGGATGTCATATACTTGTCTCATAAAAACGTACCTGGCTTCCTTGGTGTTTGTGTTGACTTCGATGATGGCATCTCTGGCCATGCTTTGCAAGGTTTACCTTTACCCAAAAACACTAAAGGGATCATAGGCTTTTCAAGGTCAAAACTTGCATTCCCAACACAGCTCGTTTTGGCAAATAAGCTTCCTCCCATGCTTTCTCTCTCTTTGCTTCCCTTCTTCAAATAAATTTGGTAACATCTTCATTGGAGCTGGTGTCCATCTCCATCCTCAAGTCGAGTCCAAGTTTCTCCAAACCACCCCACTTGTTGTCAACCCCGTTGCCACTGTTGAAATGGTGCTCCCTCTATCGAATACTTCATTGATGTGAAATCAATCAAGATCGATGACCATGTTGTCAACTTAAACCCTTCTCTGTTGTCCATCGACAAGAAAGGAAATGGGGGTGCCAAAATTAGTGCCTTGACTCCGTGGACCAAATTGCGTAGTTCACTCTACAAGCCCTTGGTTCAAGAGTTTGTCAACAAGGCTGCAGCAAGAAGAATGAAGAGAGTGGCATCGGTGCCATCGTTTGATGCATGCTTCGATTCAAGCAGCATTGGGAATTCCGTGACTGGCCTAGCTGTGCCATTGTGCCAACTATTGATCTGGTGCTACCTGGGGGAGTGCAGTGGACTATTTATGGAGCCAATTCGATGGTGTTGGCAAAGAAAAATGTGGCGTGTCTTGCATTTGTTGAGGGAGTGAAGAAGCCGAGAACGTTTTCTGTTCAAGTTGAAGCCTCCATTGTTATTGGGGGGCATCAGTTGGAGGACAATCTTTTGTTCATTGATACGGCTTCCTCAAAATTAAGCTTTAGCTCCTCGCTTTTGCTACGGAACGCAACCTGTTCCCACGCTTGAATCTCTTGTTAGAGAGATCCTAAAGCATGTTCAATAATGAATCATGGTTTTTCAATCTTTCACCCTTGTACATCTTGTGTACAATAATAAAGGCTCGTGTTAGTTATACCAAAGACAAAGCTGAATGAACTAGTTCCTTCCCTAGTTTGATGACCAGTGTAATTTTCAAATCATTACTTATCAATTATATGCTCATTCACTTTTTAACCATTTCACACACACACATCTAATACTTTTTAGTCCATTTAGTTTAAGTAATTTTTGATAGCTTATTTCTATTCTATTTTTTATTTCAAATTTCATATTTGATTTATAGGAATTAGATACTTAATATGTAAAGGTACTTTAATATATTCAAATATAATTTTATTTAAAAAATATTATAACCAGAAAAGTACTCCTATAAAAATATAAAGATTTTTAGAAATCAAATGCATCCTTAACTTTTAAGCAAAGCAAACGCACGTGGTTGCGTCTAGTTTCCTTGACCCAATTTCCTTGCCGCTAGTCAAACTCAACTCCTTGGTCGTCGTGCATTCAACTTTGACTTCTCTTACAACTATAAATACGGTGGATTTATTTAATGTTCTTTGTATTTGTCTTAACATATACACATACTAGTAATTAACTTATTGGTTAGCTAAGCTGGCAGGTAACCTGACTCGTACGATTCATATTGAGAAAAATTAAGAACAATTTTAAATTTTAGATAATTATGAAAAAAAAAAATAACGAGGATATAACTTTTACATTGGATAAAAAATACGAAGTGAAATGAGTTTTTATACGCAACAAATTTATTAAGTTAGGTTTATCCGAACAAACTAGTGAAATGAGCATGTATTCCACAGGATTAGGATGGGAAATAGAGTTTATTGATGACGAAATTAACCAAAGGTTGGGAAAGGAGCGAAGAGTGAAAAGTCAAACAAGTCTGAAATGGGAACAACTAACGTTGCGGAGTAAGAGGGAGGAACTAAAACCAAATTTTGAGGAATCTAGATCAAACTCCAAAAGATTATCCTCCATCTGATGGCCACCAATCACAATGGAAGTTGCAATGGGACTCTCTGGCTCCAAACCTCCATCCACAAATCCAAGGCACAACACTTTTTTATTCACGGCCACCATTGAATTCGCACCATAAATTCTCCATCTAACTCCCCCCTTCAGTACCAGATCAATGGTTGGCACGGAGGGTCCACTCCTGCTCTTGCGAACGCTTGTCGCATCGAAACACGCCCCAAAGGGTGCCACCGCAGCCACTCTCTTTATTCTCCTAGCCAACGCTCCCTTCACAAAATCATTCACCACTGGCGCGTATAGTAAACTCTGGAATTTCGTGAAAGGAGTCACCGTACTAAGTTTGGTGCCCCCGTTTCCGTTTTTGTCAATGGCCAGAAGGGAGGTGTTGACGTTGACTACCTTGTTGTCAACGCTGATTGACTTCACGTCAATAAAGTACTCAGTGGAAGGCCCATGATCAAATATTGGGCCTGTGCTGTGTGGGTTGACAACGAAAGGAGTGTAGGAAAGAAAGTTGGAAGCATGGTGAGGCGGCAAATAGTAAGGGCCACCACCAACAATGAGATCCCCGAGTTTGTTATACTTGGAAGAGGAAGGCAAACAAAGCGCAAACTTACGTTCAAGGTTGAATTTGGAAGCGAGTTGCGCGGGTAGCGAAATGGCGGTTTTGGCAAGGCCCAGGACTCCTTTGTTTCCATGGGCCAGGCCTCGAAGAAAGCCATCGATCCCGAACTTATCGGGGTAGACGCAGGAAGAAATGAAGCGTGGGACGTGTAAAGTGGAAGGTGCTCTTGCAGCGTTGGATGAGTGCGTGGAGGAGGAGGACAATATGTCTTGACCCAGGTCTCCGCTGACGAAGAAGTGGGCGAAGGGGTTGTATGGTTGGACGCCGCACGTGTTGTTGGTGCAGCCCGTCTTCAGAGGGTGGTTGGTGCACGTGACGCAGTCGGTGCCCTTGGCTAGCTTGCATTTGTTTGTGCCGCAGCGGATGGGGTTGTAGGATGATGAGTTGTAGTCGCTGCCACACTCGAACCATACCAAACCTTCTCTTATGTCAATGGCTAGATCTAAGGTGACTGGAGGCGTCCCCATGTCGATGGAAGTTGAGTATTGACCGCTTCCTCGGTCTTTCTCAATGGGAAGGATAAAGGTCTGCCTGTGGGCTTTTGGAGGCTCAGATGCTAATGATGCAGATAAGAGTGAAAGGAGGAAGAAGAAATGGATCATGTTCATGCCCATTCTGAATATCAAAATCATTCTTCTCGGTTAGTCTCTCCCTCTCCAGTTCTTATATATATATATACAACATGGATGCGTAATGCGTTTGCGTACTAGATCTAATCTTAATTATGGACATGTGATCGTGATGTGCCCATCTTGTTTATTTAATTACACCAAACCCATGATGCGCGTAATCTCAATGACTCTCGCGCATCCTGGAACTAAAATAACAGATTACTCGGCAAAACATTAACTATTCTCTTCTATTCAAAATTATTGTAAATAAAAAAACGGTGTATTTTCATAAGTCTTCTTCCACAGTACTCTAGTAATTTGTTGCTCAAGCAAAGATACTTTACAATACACACTTCAATAAATTTAATTGGTTTAAACACATGACAACTAGTTCCTCTTCCAGACTTCAACTTCACCTTTTAAATCGCCAAGCAATTTATTTATAAATCCTAATTCACTCGTATTAAAAAAAATAGTTAAATTAGTTGATAATAATAAATTTGTCATTAATATATATATATATATATAATTTTTATATTATTTTTCTTTTTTAATTAATATTCATCTTTCTCCTAATTAATTAAAATACAATTTTTTTTAAAATATTTATAATTAATGCATTTTATCAAATTAAAAAAATATTTTATTTAAAGATATTTTAGTCTAAAAATAATTAGTATTATGGGACAATATAATATAAATTGAGTAGCAAAAATTACTCTAAATTTGACCTTATACATAAGAAGGAATATAGGCAATTTTTTTTTCATAACTTGAAATAAATTTATAATTCAAATTCCTCCATGATTGTCCTTCAATGCTTTTTTACTCATAAGTACTTGAAGTTCAAATTTCACTAGACTAGGTTAAACTTAAATCGTTGACAAAACATCATTTTGAATCAACTTTAATGTTTCCACCACTCCACTAGAATTAATCCTAATGTTTTACTTTTGCAACTTTACTATAGCCAATCCAAGTGTACTTAATAAAAATCTTGAAGAACATAAAGAAGTATCATCTTAGCCTCATTTTGATGGATGATAATCAACACAAATAAGGTATATATACAATATTTTATTAATAGAGTTGTGTTTATACAAGATCTCTACTTCAATTAAATTCACAATTAATTATACAAAGATTATATAGATACAAAATTGTAGTATATTATCAAATAAATATAAAAAGAATGAGAGAGTAAAATTTGCACAACTTGTATAAAGAATTGATTCATCTTATTCTTCATAAAATCTAAATAAATCATATGAAAGTCATTTGAATGATATAAGATTATCCTCAATTGTGATGGGCTCAAGCAAACAAGACGATGGAGTAGCAGTTAAATAACTAATTGTATGAGAGTAGAGACTTTTTATTGGACATCAACTGAATGACCCAACCTATTATAGGTTATTTAGAACAAAAATTCAATACATTCATCAAATAATTAGGCATTATAACAATAGTTGCGACGTTTTTCCCCTTCGATCATCTTTGCTTGTAATGTATTTATGCTTTTATTTGGTTGTCTTGCTGTTATGAATTCTCTCTTCCACCTGTTTTAATACTTCATGTTATAATTTTCGATCATACATATCTTAAAATCGATGTTGTTAATGGTCAGTTGAAAAAAATTAAGGTATTAAAAGATTACTCAATCTCATGAATAAAACTTATATTAGATGAAAATGAGTTCAATTTCAAACATGTTCATTGCTATTTTTATACAATAATTAATGAAACTAATTAAAAAAGTGAGAAGAGTAGTGACAATGCTCCTCACACCTCATTCGTCTTCCTCTTTCGATCTAAGAGTAGTAATGATCTAGTGGTAAACTGATGACACCACTCACACGACTCCTCTTCCAATTAATTTTTTTATTTAAATTTCTATCATTTAATAAAAATACAAATTAATCAAATAAAAAGTTATGTTAGGAAAAAAAATGTCATGTTTAATGTTAACTAATTAATCATTTCAACATATGTTTTGTAAGAGTGACACATTTGATTAAGTCTCTTTACTTCTATTAGTTAAGACTTGGGATCGAATTTGACTTCTTTCATATTTTATATCCTTCCATGTATACTTGTGTTGAAAATGAAGTGGACAATTTGTAATTCCACTAGAAATTGATTTGTGCTATTCTTTTCATGTAGACTTATGCTAAGGATGGAGCAGACGATCCATAATTTTGCTATAAATCTTTAAAATGATTGACTATTGTACCGTGGTGGTCTCCCATTGGCCGACCAGATTGGCCGACCAGAGGCAGGTCGGTAAAATGCCGATCACACAAGAGAGACTCAAATATGGGGAGATTAACTGGCTCACTCGGACAATCAATAAGATCCCACGATCCGTGGGAACAGTAATAAATACCGGGAGTTACGAGTCCATAATGGGGCGTGATTTATGGGATCATAAGTGCGATTCATGTCTATAACGCTACACCGTTATATATAGCAATGATTAGGTCTAAGGCGGCAGGTTACTCTCATCGAATGTTCTAGGTCAAGACTGCTACCAAGTTCTTTTAGCTCGGTATCGCTAAGGACTCTTCAGCGGCGGACTCCAATACCGGAACAACTATAATCATGCATAAAATTGTATATTACTTTAACTAAAATTGAGTATTTATTTTATTCATTATATTTTTTTACGAGGTATTTATTATATCTTCAGTGACATTTATTTGAATAGTAATTATAGATTTATAAATATATTTATAGATTATTTATAAGTTTTAAGAAAAACATAAAAAAAATTATTACATTCTTTTATTTGTATTTGTTTATATAAAAATTGAGATACTATTATTTAAAAATAGTCTATTTATGAAAAAGATGTGCATATTTTAGAAAATCTTCTATGAATTCATCTTTATTTCCTTAATATTTCGGGTGTCTCTTTGAAGTTTTTAATTTCAGCTTTTAGTCCATTATTATTAAAATAAAAATAAAAAAATTGGGCATAGACATAGACTTATCCTGCTCCGTTAGCATACTGCCCAAAACAAAACATTTAGGGGGGTGTATTGGTTTAGGATTTTGTAGGATTTTGATTGTTAACTCATTCTCTGTTCTATCTTTTTCTACTCTTGTTCTGAAGTTTCAAAAAGGTGAAAACTATTTATAACATTTTCAGAACCAGATAATCAATTATTTTAAAGGATAATCGATTATTTTGCTCTTCATGATTTCTGGAAATCAACCAAGAATAGATTAATCGATTATTTTACAAGATAATCAATTATTCTATAGAGTGATTCCTGGGATAATTGATTATTTCACAAATAATCGATTATTACAACAAGGCATCCTTTTTACCTGTTGATGGAATAATCGATTATATTTGATGATAATCGATTAATTTGAGTCAGTTTTCAAAAACTATTTTATGTCTCAAAATAACTTTTCAAGTTTCTAACTCATCATCAAACTCATTCTTAATCAGATTAGATAAAGATTAACCTATACACAAAGCACACACATGAAAAAATAAGCTCAACAAACAATATAACTTATGAGCTACTCCTATTACACATCATAATAGCCATATTTTCTTCTTTACTTTGTTTTTGACTTGTTGATGTCCTTGGTCAACCTTGATTCTCAGAATCAACACTTTGTTATGATCAAAACCTTCATTCTCCAAGTTTGAGTTGATTCACCACTCCATGAATCTCAACAATTTTCACACTCATTGGAGGGAGTTGCTAAAGATTGGCTATATTATTTAGCTCCCAGGTCCATCACTAGCTGGGATGATCTGAAAAGAATGTTTCTAGAGAAATTCTTCCCTGCCTCAAGGACCATTGCAATCAAAAAAGATATATCAGGGACCAGGTAACTTGGTGGAGAAAGTTTGTATGAGTACTAGGAGAGATTCAAGAAATTGTGTGCAAGTTGTCCTTACTACCAGATTTCTGAGCAGTTATTGCTGCAATCTTGCATCCCAACAATGTCCATCTTCTTGTTTGACCCATGTCCATCTTCTTGTTTGAAGAATGAGACTTTGCTTGCATCCCAACAATCCTTCCCACAAACAAAGACCACGGTTTAACCTCTTTGCTTGCATCCCAACAATCTTCCCCTCAAACAAAGGACCACGGTTTAACTCTTTTGTTTGCATCCCAACAATGTCCATCTTCTTGTTTGAAGAATGAGACTTTGTTTGCATCTCAACAATCCTTCCCTCGAACAAAGACCACGGTTTAACCCCTTTGCTTGCATCCCAACAATCCTCCCTTGCATCCCAACAATGTCCATCTTCTTGTTTGACCCATGTCCATCTTCTTGTTTGAAGAATGAGACTTTGCTTGCATCCCAACAATCCTTCCCACAAACAAAGACCACGGTTTAACCTCTTTGCTTGCATCCCAACAATCTTCCCCTCAAACAAAGGACCACGGTTTAACTCTTTTGTTTGCATCCCAACAATGTCCATCTTCTTGTTTGAAGAATGAGACTTTGTTTGCATCTCAACAATCCTTCCCTCGAACAAAGACCACGGTTTAACCCCTTTGCTTGCATCCCAACAATCCTCCCTTGCATCCCAACAATGTCCATCTTCTTGTTTGACCCATGTCCATCTTCTTGTTTGAAGAATGAGACTTTGCTTGCATCCCAACAATCCTTCCCACAAACAAAGACCACGGTTTAACCTCTTTGCTTGCATCCCAACAATCTTCCCCTCAAACAAAGGACCACGGTTTAACTCTTTTGTTTGCATCCCAACAATGTCCATCTTCTTGTTTGAAGAATGAGACTTTGTTTGCATCTCAACAATCCTTCCCTCGAACAAAGACCACGGTTTAACCCCTTTGCTTGCATCCCAACAATCCTCCCTTGCATCCCAACAATGTCCATCTTCTTGTTTGACCCATGTCCATCTTCTTGTTTGAAGAATGAGACTTTGCTTGCATCCCAACAATCCTTCCCTCAAACAAAGACCACGGTTTAACCCCTTTGCTTGCATCCCAACAATCAAATAGTGCCAAATATTTAGTGTTTGACGACGAAGGAAAGGAAAAACAAAAACCGAAACAATCACTTTGCAATTTGCATTTGAAACTGCAAATATGAAATAACCCCCCAGAATCAAATTCCACGCTTCGTTGGTGAGTTCTTCCCTCTCCTCGCCATCGCAATTTTCCGATCGATTTATTTTCATTGCCTATTTATCGGCGATCAGAGTATTTAATTGGCGTTTGGGGATAAAAAATGACCACCTCCGCGACTACGGAACAATTCGACGAATGCATGAAGAAACAAGTACAAGTAACGGAACAGCTTTTACGTGTACTTAAATCCTACAAAGAGGACAATATTCCTCACAAAATCGACGAGGTAGAATTCCACGCTGCGACTCGCCTGTGATTCACTATATTCTGTTTCTGTTATAGCTCTTATTCCGTTATGCAGGGTCTCTATTTGGGTTCGATTGCCTCTGCATTTAACAAGCTTCATTTGAAAAACCATAATATTACTCACATTTTGACTGTCGCTTCTAGAATAAAACCTCCACATCCTGCGGATTTTGTCTATAAACTTATCAACGGTATGGTAATTTTCATCAAATCAAACTCTGCTTTGCCTTTCTTGTCCATTTTTGCTTTCATCCAATGTCATCGATGATAAATGAATGGTTGTTGACATCGATGTAGGGTTATTCTCATTGGGTTTTGGGGAGCTTTTGATTTTATAGTCATCAAAATGATAAATTATTAGGTAGTTCAGTATCACTACCAAGTGATCTAAGATCACCTAATAATTTCTCCATCAAAAGGGGCTTCATGACTTGTAATTGAATTCCCTGTAAACACGCCGTAGGATAACAATTGTATTTGCAATTCTGAAAGTACATGCTTTGGTCTTAACAGTTGTGGTAAAAATATTTATTGTCGCGGACTTCAGCGTACAACAATTTGTTCCTTGTATCTTAGAAGTTGTGTTTTATGGAGCCAGACAGCTTTATGATAGATTTTGTCATCTCAGCATGTCAATTGTCTTTTTTAACTGACTCATATAGTACTGTTTTCTGATAAAGGAGATTGCATGGCATTTGTTAACCATGTTGCTTGTAATCAAGCTTCATTAGTTTTTTATTTTTTGGAATATATTTTTCACTCAAACTACTGAACGAACTGACTGAATTATGCATGCTGTCCTCGAGCATCTAGTATTTTGCCCATACTAAAGATATGATTTTGTTGGAAAATTGAGGCAGTTGTTGACAAAAATCATGAAGACTTAAAACAACACTTCAATGAGTGTTTTGATTTTATCGATGAAGCCAAAAGACTTGGTGGAGGTGTTTTGGTTCACTGTTTTGCTGGAAAATCAAGGAGGTAACTTGTATTCCTTTCTCCCTTGTTACATGGGATCACCTATTGTTCTTGATAATTTTATTCATTTTTCAGTGTTCTGATTTAAAACATGTGGAATGTTGTTTCTAAAGGAAAAAAAAAAAAAAACTAGAAGCAACATGTAGTTCATTATCCAATTGGCTTTTGGATGCTGGCTCTTATAGCAGTAATAAAAGGCAGTCAATGCACAAGACTCCTACCAGGGGTGGCCTTTTGAGGGGTGGGGGAGAGGGTAGGTAGTACACAGCGTTACATCCCACACGTGGAGAAACTATTTCTAGGATTTGAGCCTGTGATCGCTAGGTCATAAGGCAGCAATCTTACTGTAAGGTTGTTTCCAAGTCTTACCATTTTCCAATAATGGTAATAACAGAGAAAATGGCATGCACATGACTACTTGAGTAAAACTAACAAGTTTTACTTGAAAATATCTGTGATGCTTACAGTTTTCTAACAAAGATTGTACTAGCCTACTAGGCATGCCACTGATTTATTTTGGTTTTAAAATATCTTTTCATGTCTAGTTATATGACAATATTTCTTGAAACATTGAAATGAAGTTCTAATAAGTATTGTTATCATATATATGTCTGATGCTATGTGCAACTCAAGTATATGACTGTTGCGCTAAATGCGAAGCTGTTTTCATATTGAAAACTGTAAATTTTGTTGTAGCCTTGAAAATTATAGCAAATCATTTAGATGTTTCCTCTGCTTCATTATTTTTCTTTTTTCTGGAATCTGATTTTGTGTGGATACTTCCGGTTTCATGTATTGAAAATTTGAAAGAATAACAAAAATGCATGCTTCAAGGTTATTGACTATCTTCCCTGTGAAATAGAAGTTAAAAAGTCCTTAAAGCATGAGTTGAATCAAATCCTTATTTTTCTGGCTTCCATATGTGAATGCTATCAAATTTTTAAGCTGTTAAGAAGCTAAGTTACACCTCAAGTTTGTTGAGATATGTAAAAGAGTGAATGAAGGACGTTTATTGAATTTGAAGAGTGATGAATTATCTCCCTTTCTCCTTTACTGTTTTCCGGCCGCAACTTCAATTCTGCATGAAACTCTGTAATATTACTACGTTTAAATTCATTTTATGTTAGCATTTTACTACGTTTTTAATACCATATCTGAACTTGTACAAAAATATTCTTGGTATTTTTATTGCTCTTTTGGTTATTTCCCTTTTCATATGATGATGAAACGGGCAAATTTGATCCCAATAATGTTACACCTTCCAGTGTGACTGTAGTTATAGCATATCTGATGAAGACTCGTGGAATGAGCTTTAATGAAGCTTGGCAACATGTAAGGACCATAAGACCAGCAGCATTACCCAATGCGGGTTTCATTCTTCAACTGATGGACTTTGAAATGTCTCTGCAAGGTGCTTCTAAATTACATTAGCATCATCTGCATAAAGTACATTTACGTCTTAAACATATTTTGATCTAATAAACCTCTAAATCTAATAGAGTAGCAACAAACTTGTGTTAAAAACCCATCAAGATATTTACAATTGTACAATAACACATGAAAGATCTTCTATGTAAGGAAGTTAAATGATACTATGTTAAACATTATTGTTACTAATTGTCGAACAATTTTCGCATGCAAGAACACAATCGTATATACTTTGATTAGCGAGTCGATGATACCTCATAATACATTTCTTATATCAAAGAAAGTGATGGCTGCGATGATTTGGACAATGCAACCTATTAAAAAGTAAACTTCATACATTTCTTTAGAAAGGGAAGTTTAACAATTTTAAGAATAAGAACTATTAAAAACTAGTTTTTTTTAATGAAAAATTCAATTGAAAAACTTTAAAATTTTGACTTTTATCTGTCTCCCTCTCCAAATGTGAAAATCTAATAACACATTAATCTAGAAATTTAATCTTAAAATAGTTTTTAGGTTAAAATAAAATGATAAAATAGTCTAAATTTTAAATTAGTATTTTTAACTTTATCTATAAAGTACATTTTAAGTTTTGAATTTTTTAAATTGAACACTACTTTAGCATGTCATATGTGCATATCTAAGGAGAATACTTGTATGGAGAATATTGTGAGTTACGTTTGACTTAAATTTTTTTAGTTTGAATGCTACTTCCAAATTAAAGCTTAATAAGTTTTAAAAATAACTAGGAGTAGTTTGATAAAAAAAAAAAATTATTGTAGCTTAAAAGAGATAACAATCATAACCTCATTGGGAGGACCGAGACAAAAGTAAGGGGAGGGGGTGCATTCATCACTTCGAGAAAATTATGGCATATATGTATATCTTTTGCATTATAATTCCTATTTTTATTTGTTTGAATCATTGCTCTCGATTTCTCACTTTATTGTCAAATTTTGTCTTTTTTTAAGCAGTTTCTTTTACATATTTTTGTTTTATTTTTAATTCTTTTTGTACTTCACATTTTATTTCATCTGATATAATGATATTTTTTTAAAAAATTAAATTGACCCTGCTTAACCAGGGTCCCCGTCACCGGATAACATGAGACAGAGCAGCAAGAGAGTGGAAGAGACAGACAAGAATGAAGAAGGACAGCAAGAGGGAGAACACCAGCAGTATATTATAGAAAACTCCTTTACCTAGCTTTTTATTTATTTATTATTATTTACTACACTGATTATATCATTTCATTAATTATAATAGGATAGATACAATCAAACACATAACTAAAAGTATATGAATTAAGCATGAAATCTAAACTTTCTTGATAGAGTATGAACAACTTGATTGACTTTTCTATGAATAAATCTTACCTAGGAGTTGGGAATCAAACTAAATTTTCTTTTCAAAGTCAAATAAGGCTAAACTAGTAAACTTGGTACTTATATAGGATTTGTAGTACACGCCATTAACTTATAAACCTATTTCTTTCAAAACTTATTTAAAATTAATTCCTTTTGAAACCTATTTCTTTCCCTTTTCTTTTTATAAAATTTAAGCTGTTTGAATCTTTAAGAGGTTTTCAGATAAAGTGTTTGACTTGGTTTCTCATTTTAAAGAGAAAAAAGTAAGGCTAAAACTATATTTATAAACGATGCACTAGCTGTTCACATACAAATATAATGTTTATTAGAAAAGTTAATTTAATCACTTGGTTTGGTTCCTATACTTCACACTCATTTATAAATTATTTCCTTAATGAAAAGAATTTACCTTTTGGCTCTTATATGAAATTAATATTACACTTTCATCCTTGTCGTTAAGATATACTATGAAAATGTTTTAAAAATTTAAAATTATTATTTTTAGCCATACTTTTAAAGTGGGTTTTAAGCTTTAAAAAAAATTAAACACTAATTTAGTATGTCATGTAGCAATGAAACGTAATACTTATTTGCAATATATATATATATATATATATAAAAGTTATTTATAACACTTTAATTTTGTCTTAAAAGTCTCTTTAAAATTAATATTTAGAACAAGAGCTCTAAGAGTAAAATATAAGTTTTTATTTCTTTTATCTCAATAGATATGATAATGTCAAAATAACACATTTCAATCTTACTCTCTTTAGAAAAGTGTTTTGAGTGAAGTGAGGAGTGAGGTCGAATTTTCAGGATCTAGTAAATTTTACTTCTTTTTATGAAATTAGAACTAACAATAAAGATAAAAAGGGGGGGTTTTGACTTTTGAGTACACATTGAATTTAAGCAAAACAGCAATTGAAACAATGAGATAACTAAAAAAATATTGTAATTCAATAATTAAAGATTTTAGCTCAAGGTGCAAGTAGTTCCTAGAATGGTTATTAGTTCAAGGATACAATTTTCATTTTGATAAATTAGTTCTAGTTATTAACAAGCTCTAATATTCAACCTCCCTTTACACAACTCTAATGGTTGTTTTATCTCTAACTATTAGATCCATTAAACAATTGTGTATCTATTAGGTTTTAAACAATCTTATTTATTGGACAAAGGACCGTTTTTGCACAACCAATAAAGCATTGTTTAATACTCAAATTGATAGAAATATAATAGTCAAATACATTTATACCTCACAATCCATAGAGAATCAAGTTTCGATTAACCTTGTACTACAAAGGAGGATTATAATTTTATCGGATTCACGAGAATACAGAGATAAAAGAGAAAACTTGAGAAAAGAAGAGAAAACATTAATCCTAGTTGTCACGTAAAAATGTCTCAAAGACTAATTTGCAAAAGAAATAATCGAATTTAACAAATATAATAATAGGCATGATAACTAAATTTGCATTTGTGAATATCCATTCGATTCTGACCCAAATTTGATAAGGAAAATCTGTTTTGATCGAATACGGATTCGGGTACGAGTTTTCTTTGCTTTGAAAAATTGGGTTCAAGTGTAAGTTTGGATATGCAACTCCTCGTCCTGACTTTGCTTCTTTACTCTCCTAGTTACAATTTCTTGCAACAAAGAAATATATATATATATATATATATATATTATAATATAATTTTATGTATTTAATTAATTTATTTAAACCAGATATTTGATAACTTTCTAGCTTGAAGTAGGTGAATAATTAGAATATTTAGGAAGTTATTTCACAAGGAAATGATAAGTACATCAATTAGTATATGATTGTTCTAATTTAATTAGTAATTTCGAATTCGAATTTTAGATATGCAGTTATAACTTGTATTAAATACTTAAATAGAGAGTTTTATTGTTCATAATTGTCCTATTTACATAAAACAAGATTGTTTCTCTAATAGAAAATAAACATGACCTATAAAAAAAAATATTTTTGATGAGGAGCTCAAAGATGTCTCAAGTTTCCTTAGATACTCTTTGCAACGCATACCTCTGACATTGAGTATTAAATATATTAAATGTAAAATTTATAAAATTAAACATTTACATATAATTAAATAATAATTTGATGGTAAGTGATTTAATAGGTCCAATAACAATTTTTAGAATAAACTATAGTATTATAAAATTTGACTTAACTAATTTTATAAAATCAATTTATAATATAAGAACTATTTTCACTTATATACAGTATTTTCAAGTGTCACTTGTGAGATCTCCCGAAACACTACTATTTCCATTACATCAGCACCATGTAATTGTGACATTCTAGTTGGAACATATTGGCCCAAACTTTGTCGTATACACCTAAAATCATTCCAAGAAGACGCGTCTCTTCATATTTCTATTTGGGTCAAATCAAAGCCCATATGAATGAAATGATTCAACCCATTGCTTCCTTTTTGGTTTTATTCCCTTTTGATTTATCATGAAATGAAATTTCACCTTTCTCAACATATCACGGGTGATAATTTAACGTATTTAATCTTCAGTTTTTAAACGCAAATTTTTTATGTTATTGTTTGATTACATGTTACCAAATTATTAAAGAAATTCGACTATTTACAATTATATGTTTGGATGGTGCGCCAATATTATTAAACATTATACAAAATTATATCATCAATACATCACAATTAAACTCACAATGTAAAGGAAAGTAACTTTTACATACTTTTCATTCCTTACCGATCCTTCTATGAAAAAAATAATGAAAAAAAAAACTTTCTTTGATTATTTAAAGTTAAATACATCAAAACGAAATCTTAAAACATTAGTGTAAAAATAATTTAAAAAAAGTTAAATACATCTTTATATTAGTCTTTCTAAAGTTTTCATCATCAAAAGATTTATTAAAAAATTTAAGTGTCACCATTTGTCCTTTAATTTTTTTTTTAAATTAAACTCTTAATATTAAGAAGTGAAATTAGACCTTCATTAATTTGAATCAAGACAATTAGATCTACTCCACACCTATATTTTTTTTATACACAGAACTTAATTATCATATTTTACTTTACTTAAATAAAAAATGTAGCCGTACACGAAATTCCTTTGACTTGGACATTTGAGCATCGGTAATTTTCCAAAAAAAAAAATGTCATAAAATTAACTTTACAAAAATTTTACATTTTACTAAATTAATTTTTGATAAAATAATTAATATTTAACCTCAAGTTTTGCAAACACAAATTAATTTGTCATTAATTATTAGCTTTAGAACATTACATTAATTATATCCATTGATAAAAAAATTTCTTGAAAGATTTTATTATCACTATTAAAGTTAATGACAAAAATTTGGAATATTAATGTAGTAATATTTAAAAAATTAAAGCTAATTTTCTGGTTAAAATTTTAAGAAGATTAATGCGATTACTTACGCGTGAAATTCTAGAAGACAATATTGGGGATTTTTTCAAGATTTATATATAGAATTAATCATCTATACATTATTAGTATAAAAAAAATTTTACATTGACAATTAATCATATCTTTTAATAGCATCATGTCAATTGTTTATTTAATAAAATAATAATAAAATAAGTAATTTTAAAAGATATGATTAATTGTCAGTGTAAAAAATTTTACAGTAACAATGTATAGATGATTAACCTTTATATATATATATATATATATATATATATATATTAATTTGATAGGGAAAAAGTTAAAATAGGTTATGATATTTTTCTGTTTATGACTCTTTCTGTAAGAAAAAAGTGTAAAATATTAAAATGTCACTGCATTCATATTTGGTAGTGTATGAAGAACAAAAAGTGGAGCCGAAAGTCAAAACTATGTTCCCTTTTCCTCTTTAGCATGATGAGAGAAACTGTTGGGTAGCACTCTCACTCACATATCATATCATATCATATCCTTCACAAATTATTACATGCTATGGACCCATATGTCTTCAAAATTAATCCATCCATTCAGTCATACCCTTCCTCCCTATCCCCAATATCTCATTGGTCCGATCAAATCAAATACCTTAAAATTCAAGATCAAAAATTAATTTAACTCACAAAGTGTAATTTTTTAATCAAATATTATTTAATATAAACAAAAATTAATTATAATAATGTAAATTATACTTATTATTTATTCATAAATTGATATGTATAATAAATTTATTAGTTTCTTTTTAATCTTATAGTCAACTTAATAATAAAATTTGAATGTTGTTGCACATAAATTTTTAAAATGTTAATTTTTATAATATTTAACTTAAAGTCATGCTGATAATAATTTTGCTTAATTTATGATGTATTTTTTATTATAATTAATTAGTGAAATCAATGCAATTAATATTTCTATTTATTAACCGTAAAAAATAATAATATTGGAGACAACTATGTATTGACATTAGTAAGAGAAGATGAATGTCTTGTGGTGAGATGAAAAATAAAAGATATGAGAAAAAGAGAAGAAAAATGAAGACTAAAAATATTTGTAGGAGAAAATATCCTTATTATATATTGTTATAAATAATACATAGAAATTAAACTAAAAGAATAAAGAAATTATAACAATTTGGCATGCTATTACAATTGCTACAGTTCGGCTACTATGCATTGGAAGATTAAACAATATATCTGGGGTAATCATGTAACAATTATATAATTAATATGCAAGCTATATCTCTATAAGATAAAAGAATAAACTATTGAAAATAAAAATTCTCATGGACTATATACATACCTGGTACAAACATAAGCATAACTATATAAATACATTGTACACAAAATAGTCTCTATAATGCTAGTCAAGCACCTATACACAACTTGACTATATTAGAGTAGTCATCAACAAAATGAAACCACTACCAACTTAACTCACCACCAATCGCACAACTCATCCGGTTAATCCCGTTTTAATCCCATGAAGAATCATGATCATTACAGTTC